TAAACGCCGTTTACCGTTATTATGCATTCGGTCCCCGGCCGGGAGGGCCATGACTAATTTATGAGCTTTTCGAAAAAGGTGCCGGGACTTCGTCGCGGATCCCGCCGATAAAAGTTCGGCGGACCGGACGACGGCGCCCGTTATAGCGACGCCCGTTACGAGATGACGCGAGTCCGCCGATCGCCGAATCCGGGATTTTTTTCCTCCTTCGGAGAGTTCCGGGATTTCGGAGTTTAATCTTTACGAGCCGTATGACGCGTCCGCGAGACAACAAAATTCTCCTAACGCTTAAACACGTTGCGTGAATTTTCATTCGTTCTCGTATGTTTAATCATAAAGTGGATCGTTTGTACGTTTTTCATATATCGGTGGAGGGATTGCGTGATTTTTTGAGGATACAGATCACAGGGATTTTGGGCTATCGGGACGTCATGATTGTTTTGACTTATAGAAGGGAAAAAATATAAGCAATAGAAAAGAGGGGGGGGGGGGTGTATATAAATGGACTGAAATAGCTTCGGAGAAATTTTTCATTATTGAAAACCCCGAGTTTTTACCTCGAAGTGGACAAAAAAATGAACATGGATGTTGATGAAGAAAGAACGTGATGCATATGAAATTTCATTTTCTTTTTTTAAACACGTGCCCTTGGTTCTAGTCTGGGGTAAACACATTTTTCCACAAAAAGAAAATTAAATTTCATGAGCATCACGTTCTTGCTTAAGGCCTCCACAGTCACGTGTTGATGTTTCAAATGATTCGGTTCACCCAGTTTGAAGAAAAGTTTTATGAATATTTTGACGTTTGGTATATATGACGGTATTGTATATATGACCTTTTCGTAACTCCTTAAAGACCCTACTACATTTCCTGCTATCTGCTTAAACCTGTTGCTACATGGCAACGTACGTATTAACATTGTAAAATGTCTGGTTTGTTGCCCGTTGAAATTTGAGTTGAGGCCAGATAGAGTATCTGGACAATGGAGTCGTCTTAGATGTATCGAGTGTTATTCATTCAGCCTTTATTGCCATTACTCGAAGACTTAACGAGTCACTTCTCTTTTCTTTTTGTAACGGCATCGACCAACGGGTCACTTTACGCCGCACGTGAGCGCCAACGTGAACGCAAATAATTATCCATATTGTTCCCACGTAAAGCCCTCCACCCCTCGGCCCCGAGTCTTGGAAACTCTTAGAGACTCTTAGAAACAATGACACGTTACGCACCGCACTCTAGTACCGGTTTAGCTGAAATAAGTCGACTATGCAATCGCGGACACTGTTTCTGCAGTACATTTAACCATCTACTATTCCCCTGCATTAGTTGCTACCGGTAAACTGGTAAATGAGGTTGACGGAGACATGGCGTAAACGCAAGCGACGCGAAGCCAAAGGCGAAAGAAAAAAAAAAGGGGGGGGGAGCAGAAACGTAACAACACCGGACAATTACACTGATTATACGGTGCGGTATACGAGTGATAAATTGAAATTCCTCCGGGGTTAATTGGGAAAGCTGAAAATGAGAAATCCTGCGGCTCGGCTAAAAATGTCCGGTAAAAGCCGAAATGCAGTTAGAGCCGAGCTGAGGAGCGTTATTTGGCCGCAGCGAACCGGAAAAGTGCTCCACACCGAGGAAATTGATTTTCCCCGACGAAGGAAATCTTTCCCGACCCGATGTAGTTGCACAATTCTCAATGGGACTCTATCGGAGGTGCGCCGATAATACGCGCGCGATGATTGCAGTTCTCCAACTCGAACAATGCAACTCTTTCACGGGGCGAAGATTCCTTCGGCGACCGAGTTGTACTAATTAATAATGACGGGCCTCACCGGAAGAATCTGCCACGTGAAAATTCTCCTTCGAATCGTTCCTGAGTATCTGTATGTCAATTATATTTCGCGTTCGTGAGGGAAATCTTTGAATGGAATAATTGCATCCGGCAAGCACGACGAAATGCAGTCGCGACCTCTGTTATTTTCAGTTAATTTCTATTGCCGTCGGCGTGCGGCCCGTCGAGCACCTAATTCCACGATAAATCAAGCAAATAGTCTCCATTGTTCGTGACGTGGCATAAGGTCTCGTGAATGATCGCCGGCACGTAGTCGGTGCATCAGCTGAGCCCACCGATGACATTTGCGCTCCGTGCCAAAAGTGCACTCGTCGTTTCCTCCGAATCGGGCGTGTGCACTCTGTGGCTGTGCACGTGTTTCCTCAATGCACACGGGCAGACGTTCTGACTAATAGTTGGCCAGAAAGCGCGGCTCTAACTGCGACAATGCCAAAATCTCTCCGTAAACAAACGCAAGTAGTCGCGCAAAAGCTCGTCAAGAGAAGGACTCGCGTGAGCGTCTTCTCTCTACCAGGAAAACGATTAACAGAATACCCCGTTTGAAGTTTACTTTTTGCTAGGTCCCGAAATAACCGGGAAAAGCGGAAACAGTCGCTCGTCACGCATGCCGAGAGCTTTGCTGCGCCAGTCCCTAAAAGGGAAATAATATACTACTAAAAAAAACAATAACTTAACAAATCGTAATTTTACCAACTATAGTTACATATTATATCCTTTTTGGGTACTAGCGTTTATTTCACAGCTCGTTTGCTATTGTTTATTATAATTTTTTCTAAGTACGGCGCGAAGTGCATCCTGAGAAAAAGTAGTTGTGAAATACGCGCCAGTCCTTGAATGGAATATAATATAATACTTAAGAAAAGAATTACTTTAAAAATCGTAATTTTGCAAAATATAGTTATACCATTATATCCTTTTTAGGGACCTAGGCGTATTTAACAGCTCGTGATAATGTTTAATACCATTTTCTTCTGAGTGCAGCGCCAATTGCAGCGCTGCAAACAGTCGACCTGGAGACCGGCAACTCTTTCGGGGCACTCCACTTCGACCCGGAATAAAAATGCACTCATTACTTTTCTTGGATTCCGTTTTCCTTTATATGTAAACGATTTCATTATCCGGCCGCCAGGTACAAAAGGATAATGCGTATCTCATTTGTATGCATTCCATGTCGTGATATATGCATAGTTCAATGACTCTGCGCGGTCGGCTACGTCAGTGCTCAATTGATCGTGAAACCTTATGCGCAAGTACTTCCGACACCAAGTTATACCGCCGACAAATTAACTTGGAGAAAAATGGATTGTTCCAGTTATAGCGCGCCTACGAGGGCAATTTATCAGAATCGCACATTCCCACCAGAAACGAAATTGCAGCCATATATCATCGAGTTATGCGCTTTCGAATAGGAAATTTTCAGATGACTAATTAAGTCGACGGTAAACTTTACGAGACGTTATCTAGATTTACCGTCTTGCTCGACCCTGATAGTGAGACCCAAGGAGAAGATAGTTGCAGCCCCGACAAAAGTTCAACAATTCGTAAGATTTTTTTTAATACTGCACTCGGGATTTAGCAACGAAGCAAGACTACGTTACTGCATCGCCCGACACGGCACATTGTTTATGCGAATTCCCAAGTGAATTATGCACCTGCAATTCGGTGTGCAAGCAAAGGTCAGCACCGTAAATTTCGAGGTCCTCCTGACGTCGGAAATGGCAGCTCTCGTCCCTGACCTTAGAAATGCGGCTACTTAGAGTGCAGAGAGCACCGAAAGCGCAATTGTTACTCTTACTCAAATAACCCTTAAAAAAAAGTTTACTCGAATAAATTTTACATTAACTGAATATTCGAATAAGATTGATCGAAAAAAATATATATATATCTAAATCGTTGATCAGTACCTGAAGAGGCAAGAATATACGCGATAGCATTAATAACTACTATAATAATCAGAAATGAATAGTTAGAAAAGAAGTGCCATCCATTATAAAATATCGGAAAGCGTTAATGATTTTTACGTTTCAGGACTACCAGTAATTCGGAGAATTCTTTTCGTACTTGGCCAATTAGCGATGTATTTTCGATTCAAGACAAGTTGTCCCAACGCGACGATACGTGATTAGCATTGATAGGGAACACAGTTGCATCATCGCCGAATCGACAACACGGAAAACCTTTCTATCGTGGCCTAAATTCCATGGACGATGCAGCCACGAATTTCGATGCGTTCGCCGCGTCAAATAATGACCGTGATAAGATAGCCAATTGTTCCCCATGATAACTAGCCCTTAGTTACCGGACATTTAGCTCATACTCTACTTGCTCGTGATTCAACGAACAATTCTTAAATTGAATCGGAAGCGACGCAACATAATTACATTCAGCCTTGAAGAAAATCGATCGAGTTACGAGCAATGAGATTAGACTGAAGTAAGCCGACTGGGATGACTAAAACCATGATCGATTCAAATTAAATTCTATTCCGATCAGTCGATCCAACTCAGGAAGTTCTAATGAAAGATTTCTCGAACCACAGTTTAATCGACAGTGCGACTCCTAATAAGATCAAATCACGGTTTGATTCACCCGAATTCACTTTTCCTTCCTTAAACTGCGGCCACAGTTCCTCGCCAAGGGCGCTCTGAGGCATCTTGAGGACGCAATTGAACTTTATATAAATAATTCTCCTATGCCACGGTAAATAAGGGACGGATAAAATTTAAATAAAAGGGGATAAAATCAGACCCCTTGAGCTGATATTGCAAAACATGCGTGTAGGTCACTTTAAGGGGCCATTTTAATGGGTACCATTCATACTTCAATTCCCTTTGAATGTTAAAGCACTGTTGGGTACAGTTAGAGGGCGCAAATTATTAGGCCATTCCAAATGTTCCGCTGCTTTTTGGCAACCTGTTTAAAGGTTGGGAACCTAACCAGAACATCAGAGGATAGAACTTTTGGTATGGTCTGACCGCACAAACAACAAGTGATAATATCCATAGTTTACCCTGGAGACTTTTTTCTTGGTGTAGACCTCGTCGTCCTCGGAGGCAGTTGCGAAGTTGAGGTTGCCTTCGCAGTATCCCGCCCCGATGCCCATCCTGTATATTTCGTCCTTGCAGGATCTACCATCGAGGCTGAAATAAGAGCAAAGGAAAGATCACTGATTAATGGCCCGCGACTCGATCAGCTGGAGAAAAACGAGTCGCGAGTCGGCCGAGCAATGGCCGCCTTTTCCAACCAGCTCCGACCGAACTCGCGTTCGTCGCGAAACCCGGAAACTCGTTTATTTAACGCCGATTGTTTTTGCCCTGGCATCCTTGGAGCGGCCTTGCTCCCCCATTGCCGCGGATTTCGAAATCGAGCACTCGCGCCATGACCTAAACTCCGAAACTCGCCGCGGAGAGACACGTGGGAATCCCGGATGAGATATTTAAAAAAAGCCCATTTAGTTCTATCTTTTAGAAGAAAAAAAAACGTCATTCAAATGTGAGTGTTTTAAGGTAATATGAAAGGGTGATATATACATACCAAAAAGTCAAAATATTTATATAACTTTTCCCCAAACTAGGTGCGCCAAATTATCTAAGACTTTAACACGCGATTATGGGGACTCTGAGGAAGAATGCGCTCCCCGTGAAATTTCATTTTTCGAAAAAAAAAAAAGATATATCGACTCCACTATCACATCGCCTTAAAATACACTTCTCGGCAAAGAAACTGCAGCACCTGAAATTCAAAGCTGTGCATACCTGATAACCACACACCGTTTGTCATATCGAAATGAAAGCTAACGACAGTACCTCGGTAAGTACAAGTATATTTTCAAATAAATTTGCTTCCCTATCTCTTTAGATTATCCCGAAGGTGTTTTACTTCTTGATTTGAAGGATCTTATTTTCAGGCGCGATCTTTTGCATCAGTTACCCATTGTTCTCATTTCATGTGTCTTAAAGAAACTTTTCACGTGCGCTTCACCATTTGTCGTTCTTGGCCTCCGGCGTTACGGGAGTAACAGTCCAAGACGTGGAAAGACGTGGAAAGACGTGGAAAGAACTGCGATTTATCAACTACGATCTGGGAGTTACTGCTACGGTGCTTTTTTACACTCTTTACAGCGCTTTTATGGGCGAACATGGCGAACATGGCTATGGCAGTACTTCGGACTGTTCAGAAATGACGAGCAAGCAAGTTACGAAGTTTCCGAAGGACATGTGGAATTTACTTGGACCGAGTCGCAATATTAAAGGATGTACGTAGTCGGAAACAAGTCTGGACGTTCATTGGTCCGCGGTTTCGATCACTCGATCGATCACACTTATCATTTAATCCGCGTCGTCGAGGCGTGTCGCACATGAATCGAGGACAACTTCAAGGAAGATTCTCCGGGGAGCCTTCCTTGTCACGTAGCCGGAGTTCCCGTGACACCGTGTCGGTCGGTGATCGTTATGGATTTCCTCGTAAAAATAAACATCGACTCTAATTATTAATGGGTCCGTCGACTAGGTATTACACAAGGCCTCGCAACTCCAGGGTTACTTTTCTCCTCCGCCATCGACCGGCCTGAGGTGAAGAAAGAAAATCGAAACCTGCACTTCCGACGCATCCCGACACTGGTAAAAAAAGAATCGAAGAATGCGTACACTTTTATTACAAAATGTAGTGAAATTCTAAACTTGATGTCTTAATAGTGAATTAATATACGTTTATTATAAAATTCCGAACAAACATTATAATTTTATAACGTCATGTAGAGTTTTTGTATAACCGGTTCAGAGAAACTTTCATTTTTAATTGTCGGCTAATAACCTTAAAAGATATAAATCCCTTTCAATCCGTGACTGTATGAAAAATTGTACTAATGTTTCGAATTTTATTTTTTTTGCATAGAGACACTTTTACTTATTCAAGACGTACATCTTTTTCTTTTTACTACAGTCAAACAACCAACAATCAGCGAGTGTATACGTGACATTTTTTCGTAACGCCGTTGACCGTGAAGTGGAGCCTGTGTCTACTTTAAAAAAAAAACTTAATCTACATAAAAATTCCCCCCACCCTGCCACCTCTGCGAAATACGTCAATGAATATTTCAAAATATCCTTTGATCGTCCTTCTCTCGGGGAAAAAATTCTACTCTGGAGATAAACGACGTTGCCGTTAAGAAAAGAAAAAAGAAAAAAGAAAAAGGAAAGAAAAAAGCGAGTTTGCAAAGTTGCAATGAAATCGTCGCGAACAGACACCGAGAAAACAAAATACCGAATGTGTACATGTATCCGAGACTATTTTTTGCAGCCCGGTTAGACGGGTTAAACAATTAATGAACGACGGTATATTAATGCTAAACGGTTGAGAAATGTGAAAAATCTAGCAAATAGAAGAAAAAAGAACCGAGCTCGTGTCGGACGCACGTTACAAATTGGCCGTCCACGTGGCATCGATCTCGCGATTGCGCAAAGGCGACGCCAGAGAATTCCCCGGTTATATTTCCATAGATCGCGAATAATCTGCGGACCATATCTGACATTTCCGGCTGTAGTGCCATTTCGACTAACTCGACATTTTCCACCAAAAGCCTCACGGTCCGACGACTGGAATTTCTAGCATTTACATAGGATTTCCATTTGCACCGGACAGGATAACAGCGCGCGCCCTCTGGAGACCTATTATCGGAGCTCTTGGAGGTGTGATAGCGTTTTCCGCCTCGTTTCGTGTATCTATACACGCACGCAACAATGTTCCACCTTATGCAGGCGATGAAAGGTGAAGGAAGATAACATTACATCGAACCAGATTGCATTAAGATCCATTATCTCGAGATAGCGAAGAAAATTAATGGCCGACTGCACGTGGTAACTAACAGGTTTCTAATTTGTACAAAGGACAGGTATTTTAATACAAAATTGAAGTGTAATAATGGATCACATGCGAGTCTAAACGTGCCTCGTTTTTCGTCAAACCCGTCTCAATTTAAATTTCAATTCGATCTTTTTAAAACCTGTCTCGCTGAAATACGCCTTTAATCTCCCACGGGGCAAAAAAGCGCCGCCATTTTTCGCGATCGTTTCCGTTCACCGCGGTCAGAATTTGTCGCATTAACATATCTGGTTTTAATTATCGCGTTATAGGGAACACCTCGCGAGGGACATTTTTAGAAACTCGCCCGGTTTGCCGGTTCAGCTCGCGTGCCTGCACTTTCGCATTTTTTTAATCCACGGTCTAGATCCTCTACTACTTGCCCCGGAGTTGTGAAAAACCGCCCGAAAAATCCTTATCTAGACAGGCCTTCAGCCGAATCTTTTGCTCGACACTCGTTCCCTCTTGCTCCACAATCTCACGAGTCGACCAATCTCCTAATGCAATACCTCTGACAAACGCGCCTGATAAAGGCACGCTAATGAAAATGCCTTGCCCTAACGATTTCGTTTATTCTGGGATAATTAAAATGCCTAAATCGAGCGATCTAATTTGCACATAAGCGGAAAGTTGTATCGCTTGTCGTTAATTAACCGAATATATCGCGTGCCGTTTCTATATACCTTATACAGATGGAGGTAACACAAAAGCGTGGGGTGTCCAGAGGAGGTTAGACAAAGAGATATACTCCATCGTTATACATTTCCAGAAATTCATGTGGAAATGTACAATACATCGCAGCATTAGAAGCTTACGGACCCTTCCTTCTTATCAATAAAATGTAACGCGCACGTAAAGACACTCGGGCACGAGACAGCCAGTATGCGCTTGGCGCGGAACTCATGCGAGGTCTGAGACAATATTCCGTCCAAGATATATCATCACTCTCGTTAAAGAGAAATCCCTAAAAATTACCAAATTTCCCATTATAAAAATAAGTCAAATTACTTTACGTTTTTACTACTCACCCAATCACTTAAATTTCATGGTAGCGATGAGCAATTTGAAGAGTCCTCAAAAATTGGTCTTACTACTCGTATGCGAAATTTTTCATGCGAATCTATTCGTATGCGAGATTTTTCATGCGAATCTATTCGTATGCGAGATTTTTCATGCGAATCTATTCGTATGCGAGAAAATCCGTATGAACTCGAGAATCGGGACCCTGGACACTTGAACGTATGCAAATTCGTAGGAAAAGTCTACGGCGATATTCTCTCCTTTTCCGTACAGTTTACGGACGTTTCGCTTCGCCTTGCTCGTCCCAGGTGGTCGCTTTCTCCGGCGACAGGCAGCGCCCTCCGGCGGGCGTTTTTCGAGGCTCGGCTCGCCGCGTGCGCCTACACGTGCTTGACATTTCCCGCGGCCTGCATTTCCCGCTGGCGGGTTATTATTCACGCGCGACTTGCGACTTGCTGGCAGGTGCGAATGTTTACGTGCTACCCGCGCCGGGAGCACGTAAAGCATAGGCGCGTGCGACACTTTCGTAACGCCGCCCCGACGTTACACGCCAATAATAGCGCGCCCGATTATGCCAGGCCAGCCATCGGGGCCGCCGAAATATGGCCGACTTTGCTCGACGACCGGCAGGTGCATGTGCGATGACGTTACCGTCCGCCCCGCTCATTCAGCTCTCGATTGTCACGCTGAAAGTCACGCACGCTTTCCACCCAAACTTTCCCATAAATGGAGAAAGAGGCGCTTAGTCAGCCGGATTCCATCCGCGTGGCTCGATGGGGAAAAACGTGACGATTGCTCTAAACTCCCGGAGCAAATTGTCTTCAACTTAAGTCTACTAACTTACGTCGAATTTTTTCTACAGTGTAACGTATGTCCCTCTAGTATGTAGAAGCTGACACGTTAACAAATGAGAACCGATCAAAAAGTGAAACTAGTCGACGAACTTTTTTTTTTTTCTTCTTCTTTTCTCCATAGAGTCAAGTATTATTTACGTTCATTTTCGTGTATCGACAATTGACGCAATTTATGCACACCGATAGAAGTGCCCATGTAAATTAACGTAATCATTGGTTATTTCGATGCCATGATATATTGCAGGAAAATTACGTTGTCTCTGTGATGTCACATTCGGCATCGAAGTTAAAGAGACTTCGAAATGTAATATTATATTTAATTCAAGTGAAATTGCATTAATACGGTACATATCCAATGTTAGGTGTATTTATACACTTTCTAATCTGTCATTTTTCCATTTCATGTTTTTCTCGATGAAGCTTCGGCTATGAGAAATGTAAATATCCATCGATTTTTATCAGTGTAAACGTTTACGTTAGGTTTTCACGGTTAATTGATATTTATAATCAGCTTTGTTGGGTTAGTAATGCCCAGAGAATGATTGATAACGCTTCTTTCTAACCTGGGTGTCCAACGCGAGTGGTAGCACTTTTTTTTTATTTTTAACACATTCGATGCGATTTGCGAAATTAAGTGCCTACGGTAAAGTAAACAATTTCACCAATTGGCGTATTTCGCAACGAGTGGGTTAAATAGTTGGAAACCAGCATCGAGGTTACAGCGAGACGTTTCCTCGAGAGTTTCGAATTGTGCGAAAGTTTCGCACTCCTTCAAGTTGTAAAATTGACTTAGTGTGGAGGATCCGTAACGAGAGTCGTAAAAACTACGGACGCGCGAAGAGCCATTAGAGGACGCCTGTCGTAACACGTGTTTGTGCTACTAACGTGACGTTTGTGCTACTAACGTGGTGTTTGTGCTACTAACGTGGCGTTTACACCGTTCGGGAGTTCTTTACCTTCCTTCTCCAAGATAGATCGAAAGTACGATTTAAGATGCCTTTACTTAACGCCTAGAACTTGCTGACAAATCCCAAGTTCACCTGAAACGAGTCTTTAAAGCCTTAATTATCGATTTCCTCGACATAACCTCAAACTACTTGGGATATCAACCGTTTGAATGGAATTAAGGCCTACGCTCGTACGGTTTCTTCGTTCGTGTCGTTCAAGAAAAGCCACCGGAAATTATGCTTTAACCCACAGTTTATTAAATCGTACTAATACGTCGAAACTGTGTTATAAGAACATTGTTATAGCAGGAATGCCGCCATTTTTTCACCGTTCCATATCGAGACCGTATTTTGTGCTATTTGTGCTACTAACGTGGTGTTTGTGCTACTAACGTGGCGTTTACACCGTTCGGGAGTTCTTTACCTTCCTTCTCCAAGATAGATCGAAAGTACGATTTAAGATGCCTTTACTTAACGCCTAGAACTTGCTGACAAATCCCAAGTTCACCTGAAACGAGTCTTTAAAGCCTTAATTATCGATTTCCTCGACATAACCTCAAACTACTTGAGATATCAACCGTTTGAATGGAATTAAGGCCTACGCTCGTACGGTTTCTTCGTTCGTGTCGTTCAAGAAAAGCCACCGGAAATTATGCTTTAACCCACAGTTTATTAAATCGTACTAATACGTCGAAACCGTGTTATAAGAACATCGTTATAGCAGGAATGCCGCCATTTTTTCACCGTTCCATATCGAGACCGTATTTTCAGAGTACCGCGTTATAAAAAAGTTAAGATGACATGAAAATGGCCTCTGCGAAGTTAATCGTTCATGAAACATTTTCTCCGAACTGGGTGTATCGAATCCTTTCAAACTTCACAACGCGAACATAAAGGCTAAAGGAAGGTCCTGCCGCCCATGAATTTCAATTTT